AATATGCCATCAATGTTTCCAAAGGGATGCAAAATACAAAATTTCAATTTGCATGGAAATCAAATGGAAGGCCTATTACCTAGATCCTTGGTGAATTGTAGCATGTTAGAGGTTCTAGACATTGGCAACAACAACATAAAGGACACATTTCCCTATTGGTTGGAATCACTTCCCAAGCTACAAGTGCTTATTCTAAGGTCAAACAAATTTCATGGTTTTGTGAGCAACACCAAAGCAAATTCATCTTTCTCCAAGTTACGGGTTTTGGACCTATCTAACAATGAATTTTTTGGTCCTTTGCCTGTGCGCTTCATTGAAAATCTCAAAGCTATGGTAAATCCTCTTGAAGATGACAACTCCGCACAATACATGGGGGGAAGTTTCTCATATGAATATTCAATAGTTGTGATATTGAAAGGATTGAGCATTGAACTGGAGAAAGTTTTGACCGTATTTACAAGCTTTGATCTCTCAAAAAACAAGTTTGCCAGAGAGATTCCAAAAGTTATTGGGAAGCTTAGTTCTCTTAAAGGACTTAATCTTTCCTATAACAACTTTAGTGGTCAGATTCCACATTCACTTCAGAACTTGACCAATCTCGAATGGTTGGACCTATCTTCCAATGAGCTGGTCGGGGAAATTCCACAGGAGTTGGTATCTTTGACATCACTCTGTGTTCTAAACCTTTCCAATAATCAACTTGTTGGATGTATACCACAAGGCAATCAATTCAACACCTTTGGAAACAGTTCATATGAGGGAAACCCTAGATTATATGGATTTCCATTAACAAAATCTTGTGATGGAAATGGGCTGCCGCAACAACCACCAAGCTCCTTCCATGGAAAGGATCATGAGTTATGGGAATTTGGTTGGAGAGTTGTGCTTCTAGGGTATGGATGTGGATTTGTGTTTGGACTACTAATAGGGTATCTTACCTTCCATAATGGAAAACCAAAATGGTTTGTGACTTTGTTTAATGGCCAACAAAATCAAAGGGCGAGGAATGTGAGGAAAGCTCGAATACGTGCTCAAAGAAGAAATTAATTGCAGATTTGGTGACTAAGACCTCATTGTTTCCTAAATGTTCTTGTTTTAATTGAATTGTGTTTTTTATGACAGACGTTATCTTTTCATTTTCTCTATGTACTTTTAATTCTCTTTGTTAAAACATATATTTAAAAGGTCAACTCAAAATAATTACTGTTCAATACAATAAACTTGAAATTTCTATAGTTTATTTCATTTAATAACACTATCAGACATGATAGAGTATAGAATCTTGGTGTGGCTTTAGCGTGGAATGAAGTGAATTTGGTGACATCTTGATCCTATATATAAGATCTGTATACCTCAATCTTTGGCCTTATTTCTATTACCTAATGATTACTAATTTTCTTCTTGGAAAGATAAAAGGTAACAAGTTCATAATTTAAATGAAAAAAAAAAGGTTCATATTAGCTGGTAGTTAATACTATTTCGCAACACATAATTAATCTCCACAATTTTAATCTTATCGTTTCATAAGCTTTTTCTACCAAAAGCTTTATCCATTGTAACCGTGCCATGCTGCAAAATCAAAACACCGAAAGTGCTTGCCTTGCTCCAAACTTTGATGCGCACACAACTCATATTACAAGCCAACTAAAATTGGATATCCAAGTCTTTCACACACTGTAATATAGCTACTAAAGTAGCTATAAAATTGAATTATCACACATCATGTACAACAGGATTACAATCCCTCTTCCACCATATTATGTTGAAATGAAGGAGACCTCAAGAATACATTGTGCTACCCATGATTAAATCATTTCATAATGCTAGACTTAAATACAACTTGACCCTTGCCGAGAAAAGACCATTGCATTTTTGTCAATGAACAAAAGCTCTTTGTAGGGGAAAGGAATGGCTTTCCCTGTCAACAAGACACTTGACTGAAGGCGTACAAGGACAGCTGTAGCGTGTCATCTTCAAACAAATCAAGCTAATATTGGCTCATATGGATATGATAACCATGGGTGCTTTAGAGCCTCAGATGCAGTAGGCCACTTTTTTGGGTTTATCTCAAGCAAATGAGCAACAAAATCAATAAAAACCTGATCTCCCATAGGCAAACGATGCCTTAAAGATGTCCCTTTTGGAATCAGGTATTCCAGTCTGTTGGTTTCCTGAATAATTCGAGTAACATAAACCATTTAGATATAAGCATGGGAAAATATTTGATGAACACAAAATAAAAAACCAGACAAGTAAATGAATCACAGATAATATAATGATAACTGCAACCTTAAAAATTGTTATATTAGAGAGGAGGAAAGTATGATAAAACATCTGGATAGGTTCAATGGAAAAGCATACACAATTGAGCAAAAACCAAAAAACAGATGCTGAACTCAATGGACATGTCAAAAGCTTTCGTAAAGAAATAATCCAACACTAGGACACTGAAACTAAAATACAATGATGTGATTATTTAGATGCTGTAGCATAATTAAATCCAATGCAATGTTCTACCACAATTACTTAATTACTAATAATAATGTAGTATCTTATCTCAGCTGGTAATATGAATACTGTCATAAGTCATAACCAAGCATATCATAAGTTTACAATTTCTATACATCAACTGCCTCATGGACACAAAAGCAAATATAAAAGATAGTTACCTGATTACGCTCATAAAGCATGTGATTCTTAGTGAAATATTT